GATTCAAACCGTTTACAAGATATAAACTCTGAGATACAACTACCGAACGAGGTTAGGTCAAAAAAGTTATGCCGCAATTAATGAACATACGGTGAATCAGCAACATCCTGTCGCGCAGCAATTGTACGATGAATTCAATTACAAATATAGACAAATATTTGCCGACTTTTCTTCTATCTGTGGAAAGAAGTATGACGGCTAATTATTTCCTTTGGACTAGCAAGATAATGTTTTACCGCAAACATTACAGCGCAGAATAGCTTTAACAAATTAAACTAACCTTTGGATACTGCAGTTACATAACATATTCATAGCTTTTTTGTAGGTCTATGACGTTAAATCATGAAGGAAAATTATCCATTCCATTTTCAAAAAAGCAGGTGCACCCAGCGCCAATTCGTGGTTTCTTGCATAAAGGAACACCTTTTTCTGTTATTTCTACGTGCTGTAACCTTTATAACCTAGTTAACGCATTAAGTCAGAACAAAACCAACCAAATATTTTCTTTCCACTGTTCTCTTGAAAACAGTAACTGGTTGCTATCGCAGTTTCAAATTTGATCATGGTTCTTAAAAAGTGAGCCTGTTGTTTACATAACGCTAAATTTAACAAATGCCTAGTCAACTGAGGACGTTAAAAAATTACTTTATTGTCACTAGGATTAAAAAACTTCCGTTTTAGAGCTCTCTTCCCGTGTGCTTTGTTCTCTAACAATAGCTAAACTTGATAACCATTTTTTGATAAAAAAAATGATTTGCATTTTATTTTGCACAATGCTTACACTTGCTCCTCATCGTCGCTTAGCGAGCACTCGGCCAAGAAAAATGTTCCTGAAAATGATATGATTCTTTGGACATATATTGAAACTGAAATAAGAAACTTTTAGTTTTTGATTGATGTTTTACACTTTTCAAGAGCATTTGCTACAGATCTTCAGGCCGACGTGGTCTTAAATTTACAATCTACTTCGTGAAGACGATATAAACAATTACGTTTCCCAAGGGAATACTTTGATTTCTGAAAATGTGAATGAATCTCTGATGAACTCTGTTGTTCAAGGTGATAGAGGCGAAGGATCTGTACACTTTATCAACAACTTCTTGTTACGCTGTTAGTACTTTCAAAAATCACGGTGGAGAAATTTTGAAAAAGGCAACACTGATCTCAAGTAAACGTGGATTGAACATGACGCTGAGATGTGGTGTTTTTCAGATGCTCTTCCCAAATAATGAAGTGGAATCTATGGATGCAACCTGGTTGCTTGGCAGATCTTAACTGACAACAAACTTGCAGGGAAATTGACGGTATCCAGACATTGCAAGCGACACGCAACTCTTCTCTCTTCAGGACGGCACGATGAATTCGAGATCTCGTCAGAAGCGTTCTCTTTCATGGAGGAAAAAAGGTTTTCACAAAGCTAAAGTTTCTTTCGCCGACAATTTGGGAACGGTGCACGAGGTACCATACAACTACGACAAGTACAACAAAAGGAACGGTCGCCTGAGGCTACCCAACATTGAAATTCACAAATACACCCCGCTTATTTGTAGAGATCCTTATGCGAAGCCTTCCAAGAGGAAACAGGAAAAATTCGCGGACATGTTTGTAAGAGGTACTGTGAAACTTCCATTGATAAAGTTGAAAACAACAGACAGTGATTTTCAGAAAATTTCTCCGAGGACTAAGGAAGACACGCAGATATCGAACGAGCATCCAACATTACCGAAAGCAAATACAAAGACTTCAGAAAAATTTCAAGCAGGTAATAAACTGCATTTCAGATACAGCGACTTCATATTGAGAAAAATGAACAGAGGTGCATCTTCTAAAGATAGAATGTTCTTTGTAAAGTAATTCTTGCGGATCAAGTTGCCATGCAGGAAGAGGGTTAGCCAAAAAAGCATCTAAAATACAACTACTTACACTAAATACGTCAAAAGATAAAACGATTTCGATTCATTCTATCACCGGGACGAATGTTTTGACTAATTTACACGACTTCAGGGAGGCTTAAAGTCGTTGAAGTGAGCTGATATTGACTTAGAAAACTTCAACTGCGTTGTAGATGGTGATAGTTGCAAATCAAATTATTGAAATAAACAGAACATTTTTAAATGTAAATAGCTGCAGTTCGATTGTAAACAGCTGCTTTGATATGCACAAGAAAATATATATTATTTTACTTCAAAACTATCCCTCGGTGAGAATTTCAAGCGGCGGGTAAAAGTTAATCAAATTTATAAAATCGTATTTATTGTCAAACGTTTTCTTTCAGTCAATATCCGGGATATTGATATTTGTTTAAAGATAATTTTTCGATAAATTAACAACGGAGTTGAACAGGAATGAACATGTATCGCTTAGAATGCCTTTAAAACGGCCCCATGGACATCAATGGAGAGACTTGACGGGTTTCTGGCGTGCTTAAGCTGGTGAACACACTACTATCGCTTTTCACCCGCGCCTTTTTGTTCTGGGCACTCCATACTGCTTAGCAACCTGGCCGCGTACCTATTACGTAACATGCTTTGGTTCAGATCGTGGCTCTGCTGTAGCAATTCTAACCAAATCACGAGCTAAATGAAAACATACGAACTGAGTGGTAACCTTGCGAAGCACACAGTCTCAGAATCACAACATTCGAGTCGAGCTCTTTATTGACATCCACTTTGTTGTACTCGAAACCGTGAATTTTTTTTCAAAGGATTAAAAACATTATAATTAAATGAATTTATTGAAGGGTACCGGTTACCTAATATAAGTGAAGACTTAGAGTTGTTCGTGAGCTGGAGCGTCATGATAGTGTACGGTCAGGTTGCCTTGGCCCACGGTGCCCTGTAAGTTCCATTTAATGCGAAAAAAAGTGGATACCAGTTTTTATACGATGAGTCATAACTAAGTAGAAACACTAAACCCAAGGAACCTGAAAACGAAATAATAATAATAACATCCCTTGCTTTTGATTTCAAGTTTAAGCTAAAAGATTTAGCAACAAATCGTTCCGTCACCTTTGGAGGTAGATGATCTTACGAAATATGAAAGAAGTCCTCGCCGGGTGTCCTGGTGAGAAGAAAAATAGAAAGCGATTAATTTAAGTCGTGTCTTAGAACAGAGATTATCTCACGAGCTTCTCGAGGTCGAGCACGCAGTGAAATTAGTACAAATTCCCAGACTTCCAGTGATGAATGCTAACATAATTCAATAAAAGGCGAAGCAGCATTATGCTGTAACATTACCATCTTTGACATGTCTCTGTACATTGGAGTGTCAAGAACTTGTGATTAACCAGAACCAATATGCTGATATTTATGGAACCGCACTCAGACAGCACGTATGACGAGCAGGAAATGGCAATGAATATAAAAAGACTTTGACGTTTAAATTAAGCTCTTAGCATGAGCCAACTAAGAGAAAAAAGAATCGAGACGATCACCAAGCGCGAATTCCCCTAAGCGAGTTAACATTTAAAAATAATTTAGAGCAATATTGGTGAATTTTTTCGCTACTCAAAACGGATACTGTATCACATTTTAATTATTATTGACAACAAAACAAGTTTACAATATTCCAAAACGATATTGCATCTGTTGGTTGTTTACATGTTAAAGGAGTGAAAGCCAAAGAGAATAAATTGTTCGGAACCTTTAATTTCCGATATTGGCTTATCCTCCACCGTGCGAAACATATCGAGCTCAAATTTAACAGTACGTCCAGTTGTAAGTCAAGTGCTCCAAAAACTCAGACAACGAGCGCCAAAGGATCGCATGAGCAGCTGGAATTTCCTTTGTTATTGACTAGACGTATACGTATCTCCTGGCGTGCACTGGATAATGGTTAGGCGGCGTACTCCACAAAGAAACGAATTGTGCGCTGCCGAACTGAATGGTAATAAAAGTACGTCTTTTAATCTCAGCGGACGTGCGAAGGGGGAATGAAGAAGAATGAGTCATTTCACTCACTTTGGAGAGTTTTTGTTGGTTTGGTTTGGTGAGTAAACTCAAGTTGATAGTTTGTGCTTTTGAAACTTTTAGAAACGTCAAATAAAGGCTGATAAAGCATTCGCTCCGACGAAGGGCTAACGCTCGAAACGTCAGCTTTTATAATCGTAACGGTGGCCAATTTACCATTTCAACTCTGTTGATATATTCAAATTATTTTAGAAACGTCGGTTGGTCGTTTAACTATACATGGTTCTAAGGATGGCGCCGTAAACGTTCAAGAATGAAGTAACGGCCTTTTAATTATTTAACCGACATTTTCTCTGTACTCGATTAAACGTTATGCTGCCGGTGACAAAACCAGTCTCTTGTTATCGTAAATTCATGCTACAATAGGGCAAGGAGTTGAAGTTATAAACCAATCCACTCGTCACCGATTCACGTTGATTGTCACCAGTTGCAACTGAAAAGGTGAATTAACGAGACAAGCAACACACTGCTCGACAGACAAACATTTTGTAATGTTAGATATCTTATCTTTGACGATAGAGATCTGGATGAGCTTTAAAAATGAAAGGAAACAAATTAAAAGAAAATTATTTTACATTTCACGAGGGTTCTCAAATAACTGAAGTGTTTCAGTGACGTCATAAAACTCGCTATTAAGAAAAGGTGATTCCTAGGTACATTTAAACTTTTACCTGAAGCCTTTTTTCTCCCGAACACCATAACAAGTTGAAAGATGGCTAAAACAGTAGAATGACTCAGTTAAGGAGAGTGTCAGAGTGTTGTCATTTAATGAGTTCATCTAATGGCTGTAGTGGCAATTGCAAGCAATCGCAGTGAATTATAAAATCGTAATTTGGTAAGAAGACAACATATTTGAGTAAGCGAAGACCTTAGTTTTCAATATTTCCTCCATTTTCTGGCGTTGAATATCATGGTTTTTTTGTTGTTGTTGTTTTCAATGATATATAGTCTTTTCAAAATAGTTCTGAATTCACACTGCGGCGGCCAGACGAATTGTCGGGCTTAGCTTCTATTTTGGATTTATTGTTGTAGTATCCAAGGTTTCTTGTTTTGCGTAAGACTATTAAGTTCCACTTTAGTTCACTTCTAAGTCAACACGCAAATTGCAGACATTTAGAGTCTTGTGGAGAACAAATGATCCAATATATTGACCTCTTTTTCGTTTTATTCTAATCAGAGAAAATGGTGAAGGATGATTTGTAATTACACTAGTTTTTTAGGAATCGTGCCGTAACAGAGACCATAACCTGCTCATCACTATTCCACCAGCGTTTCCTATTCGTATCCCGGGCGTTTTTTAAAGCGTTTTTTTTTTTTTTTTGCTTCGTAACAATTTCTTTATGTTCTCCACGGCTTAGTCTAATAACAGCGGGCCTTACTCGATTTTCCGGTGCAGCCATCAGTCTACCGGACGCGAGAAAAACCCTTTTAATTAACCGTTGAACATTTTATGATCATTATTATTTTTGGTTGCCACGGAAACGGATATGACTTATTCAATACTCCTAGTGTCTACTTAAGTTTTGTGCTTTTTGTTTTGATTTATTTTTCCTTTTCTTGAATAGCTTGATAGAGCTCAACGAGTTGCATCGTCAAAAAATATATTTGGAGTGTTCCTACCACCTAACTCAGTGAAGTTCATTTTGGCTCCCAACCTTCGAGAAAATGTTTGACTTGGGTTTTCAATTAATAGATCCAACGCGCCATTTCAATTTTATAAAACCAGGATCAGCTTACATAAAGATAGCTAATTTAACCAGTTTTTATTGCATTTATCACTAGATGTTCTATATTATCTCAAGGTTAACGCGTTCTTAAGTGTAGTCTTAAGAACCCACATTAATAACTTTTTTAATCACCCTAATAACGCTAGTGATGCTTGTTTTTGAAAACTGCCTAATATTTGTCAAATAACACTACAAAAGAGCTTGTGTTGAAGATAAAATTTAAAGGCAGTTCTCGCCAACTATCCAGTCAATTAATTTTACATACCAATGCTTTTTGTGATCTTCTCTGAATACTACTAGCAGCACCAGTATTTTCGTCTTGCAAATGATGCAGGACGTCGCTGATGTTCATATCGAATATTAGTCGTTTGATGAATGCAATAAACATTTACTCGCTCCTTTTCCTTTCACCCTCACTCTCTTTCTTTACCAATCCTTCAATTATATCCGCGTTGTGGCTGGTTTGAATAAAAAAAGGATGTGATATCTAAGCTTATTTATCTTTCATAGGCATATTGGCAAGTAATGCTCTTTACGGAAATGGAACTGGTAAGTGAGCTACATAGTATAAATGAGCATGCAGTTTTTTACTTAGCCCTCTGAGAATGATCATCATAATCAACGACGATTTTCAGAGCACGATCAAACACTAGCGAAAAGGTGAAGTTAGTTTCTTTGCCTCACTTGTGTTCTGTCATTCTAAAAAAGAGCTATTCTTTACAAGATGAAGGTCTTCAGATGATGACGGTCCTTAGATATGCACGCTTTGGCCTTCATTTGGAATGTCACGCAAACAACCCAATACCAAGCCTTGCGTTGTTATTCTTGGTTGCTGCGTTTCGATGCCGATCAATATAGAAAGTTGTTTACGCTTTTATAAATAATGGATCCCTTTCCCTCTAAGGAAGGCAACCCTATTTTTCAGGGGATGAAAATGTGTGATTTGGATAAACTTAGGTGTTAACCTAAGATCAGAGTTTCGGCAAAAAGGTTGACTCGATCTATCTGAATTTGCTTTAGCTAACAGTGTAAGTTCTAGCAACTGCAATTTCTACATTTTTCAAATCAAATTGAAGTAGACAAATAAATGTACCTTAATTCAAATGATACAGACTCCTTGTTATTATATCCATCAGTTACCTGTCCTAGTGGGCGGAACTTAACAACATCAGAGGGGATTTTGATGAGTCCAGGCTACAATGAAACACACTATCCCGACAGTGCCGTTTGCATCTGGGTGATAACCGCTCCACTAGACTGGCAAGTGAAGCTGATTATCAAATTCGTTGACCTCGAGTATTGCAATATGTGCAGTTGTGACTATGTTGAAGTCAGAGATGGAACAGAAGCCAGTGGCCCTCTTGTTGGCAGATATTGTGAAGCTGAAAGGACCACTGTTTATTCCGAAGGACGGCACATGTGGGTCAAATTCAAATCAGACATTGCTAATGAGGGACGGGGATTCCTCGCGAATTTCACTTTCATCAAATTACGAAAGAGTAAGTTGAGTAGCTAAAAATTCTATTGACCGAAAAGAGTATGGAAAATGTGTCTCAAGATACATTTTGAAACAGGTTGTGTTGAGACCCAAATTAAATAAACATGATTCTTACAGAGAATTATCTTTCTGAGATTGGTTCCTTAGGAACCAGCCATTATCTATCTCCGGGGGAAATCGGAGAATTTGTGGGAGATACACTTGGTTTTCAGGGTGAACAAGAGGCGGGATAAGTCGGCGCCAACAGAATATAAAGAAGGGACAACAGAAAATTAAGCGCCGAATAACTGCAAAAGAGGGGATCATAAGTAGAGTTAATCGTGAAAACCAAAATCCTCCCACCCCCGCGATAGATAATGTAGAGTCCCTTACGTTTCCTCTTTGCTGAGTCACTAAGTGTCAGTATTTTTTTCCTTTTTCTTTCCATACATTAGAGAAACCAGTTATTCTGAAAGCAAATAGAACGTCTCAATTCATCACTAGTTCAAAGAATCCAACCGTGTGTGGCTCCGAGAGGCAATGTACGTGGGTCATTTCCGCTCCTGAGGGTTTCCAAGTGCAGCTCACAACGGAATCATTTGTCTTTCTCTCTTGCCATGGATCTTACGTTGAGATCAAAGATGGTCCCACTTGTTCAAGTCCAATGATTGGAAAATTCTGTGGAAATGAGAAGCCTCCGCTTGAGATTTGCTCTTTGGGAAATAGTTTGTGGATATCATTCAAATACAACTCTACCAGAGATTTGGAAATGAATCGATTCGAGCTTATGTACAGAGCAACACAGGCTAATATTAGGCCACAAAGAAAGTTTTTCGACGAACCCGTCATTAACTCTGGTAAGTCACAAAATATATATGTACTTTTCCGTGATGAAACAAGAAATGGTTACAAATTATATTCTAAGTTCTAGATTTTTAACGCGTGATAACTGATAAAGGTGAAGCATTGCAGTAGCGGGCGAATAAAACTTTTTGTTCCCTCAGTATAAATCTACTAGTCTTACAAAAGAGGAAAGGAATGTTCTCTCTTTAATTTTCTTGTACGAACGACCACACGATGTCAAGCTATATATCGCGGAATAGACAGTGAGTAGCTAGCCAATCAGATTGCAGCATTTGTAACAGGATCTTGATAGATTTACCCTAAAAGCTAACAGAACGTGGTGTAATTAAAGATAACAAAACAAAATATTATTGTAAAAATGCCTGTAACATCCTCTGTATGAATTTGTTTGAAATGCTAAGTTTGTGCTGCTCGATATATTGCTAACATTGATAATCTCATCTTCAACCTTCTGGCCGAGGTGTTCAAAGAATGGATAACGCTATTCAAGGGATAAATTGCTATCCAGCGGATTAGTTAACAAAACGTACTTTTCTATCCACCGGACAATGATTTATCCAGTCAGCGGTATCCACCCTTCGAACGAGCAAGGACTGGATAAGAAGCACGATTTTGTTCATTCTCATTGGGAGGAACGCTGGTCCATGCAAGGCAAAATCAAATCATTAATCTTTCAATTTTTATTATTTGCTCACTTGTGGCTTTTGCAGATCACTGGAAAAGTATGGCAGTTGGAATCGCCTGCACAAGTTTCTTTCTCTTCGTGATATTAGTGGCGTGCTTCCTTAAGATAGCAAGCAGCCGCCGCTTTGCTGGATTAGAGCGAACAACGTCGCAAATCGAACTAAATCCAACAGAGTCCTCCATTGTGGAATCTAATTTTTCTAACGACATGACTGAATCTCTTCTTGAATGAAAACCACAGCAACATTTAGATAGTAACTATCTACATATATACCCTAAATAGATACTACATAGAGTTAAAAAATATCAATTTAACATACATACTCCATCAATTCGGGGAAGACATTTGGCACCTGACTCTTCTTATGGGAAAATTTTTAGTTCTAACAAGATAAGTTATTGTAATTTGTAAGTGCTAAGTAAGTGTATGTACCGTAATTAGTAAATGAGTTGACGATTGCCAGTAAAAATTATTTTAATAAGTAGTCATAAAGCTAATTTAGAGGGAGCATTGCAAGCAGAATTCCATTGTATGTGTAAAATGTGGTGTAAAAAGGTGAAGTCTGTGCTCAAGTCTCCTGGCCCTTCCAACTGAGCTCTTCTAGCCGGAACTTAATCCAGTTTCCACAGCATTCAGCGTTTATACTCCTAAAGGTATTGTGAGAGTACAGTGCTTTGCTCAGGAACACAACACATTCACCCACTTAGGTCCCGAACCCGAACTTCTCCACCCGTAGTTCACAGCACTGACCAGTAAGCCACTGCGCCTCCCACCAAAACTTGGTGCGAGCAGTGTATTTTATCATTTGACCTGTTCGGCCCTGCTTGCACAATCCCATAGAAAACCATAGTGAAAACATGACCTCAAGGCAAATATTTTCCCTTCCAGCATTCCTACTCTGTCAATGAGTACATAATAAGTAGCCCGAGTAATGCAATTGTTACGATAGGACCATTCTATATCACGTTTTGTAAATTAAAACTATTAGCATTATTTTTGTAATTTCTGTATTGTATGTAGTCAAGAGAAAACATACAGACCTTTGTATTATTTTGGCTTGCAGTAGTTGCCTGTAATCAGGTGATCGTAAGTAGTGTTCAGGGAATGGTTCATCGATAGTGTATCGCAGGGTTCCCCATTTTTAATACATGTAGAATGAATAAAAAAATCAGAAAGTTTGCATCTGATAATTAAACTTGGAGAAGGTCATAATTTGCGTGAAAAAGGATTGTATCAGGGAGTCTTTATTCTGGTACTGATTTTAGATATAGGGCTATCGAATCTCCCTACTTTCGAGTCAATTCCCACAACATCTTAAAATCCTGTTTACTTATCTCCTTTGATTTGTTGGGGAGAATATGCGTACTTTAAAGATATCCCATTTTGGTATATACCACACCGTTGCAATATCGCCTCATGTGCGCGCTGATTGGCTGGTTTGGGAGTGATTAGCAAGTGCTATTCACCTCCGAGCTGCCGAATAGACAAAATCGCGCTTCAAGAGTTTAATTTCCGATCATTTTTTAGTTTGTCGACAGAGAGAAGCTAATGTTTTTGGTTTTCGTGTGGTATATACTAAAGCAATTATTTACCTCCACTTAGGTAAATAACTTTTATTATATACATACTGAGATTTACACACTGAAAAGCCGCAGAGTAAATTTTCATTCGAAAACCGATGTAAACTAATCAAATGTCGCGTATCGCTTTTCCCACATGTAAGAAAAGCGATACGTCCAATCAGGAGCCGCGTATCATGTTTTTTCACGTGTGAGCCGTACGGCAAGTTGAAGTTTTCATTCAAGGCTGGTTGGCGCGGTTTCGTACACCGCACAAGCCATCGCTTTGCAAATAGTTTTTAATCGCATTTCTTCCATCGTTAATATTGAAAGTTCCTGTCTCGACGAAAGCCATGAGTGAAAAGCGTTTCGTTATCCACGATTCATAACTTTTGGATTCATAACTTTTGGATTTTACACATCGCAATTTGTACACCGCACAAGCCATCGCTTTGCAAACAGTTTTTATTCGCATTTCTTCCATCGTTAATATTCAAGTATGATGCACGATCCTCGCAGTAAAGAACGCTATTTATGCAATAGCGAAAATCAGACCTGAAAAAATTGAGGCCTGTACGGGATTCGAACCACTGACCTCTGCGATACTAGTGCAGCGCTATACCAAATGAGCTAACAAGCCAACTGGGAGCAGGCCGTTAAGTTGATTCGTGATAAACCCGTGATGATAAATCAGAGACGATGAATATATGAAGTTCATATATTTTGAACTGTGGTTATAGATACGTATGATGCACGATCCTCGTAGCAAAGAACGGTATTTATGCCATAGCGAAAATCAGACCTGAAAAAAAAGCTTCATATTGAATGACTGCCTCGAAAGAAAACCCCAATGCTTCCATTTGCATTACTTTACCTACGTCCAATACTCCAGCATTCACCATGTCCTTAAAAAAGTCTATCCACCAACCTGCCCTACCTCTCCTGAAATAAGACCACCAAGCCTCGATTCGCTGGTTTGCAGGTGAAGAACCATACTTATGTGCTTTTTCTCCAGCAAATGCATCTTCTCCATTCTGTCGAAAGTAGCATTGCATTGCAGCCATCACGCCATTTTCTGTTCCACAATCAGTTCTTAGCAGAATTAGACACCTACCATTCCCTTATACACAATCTAAATAGAATCTAGCTACATTTTCTGGTTTATTGTTTGATCTTGTCACCGCCAACCAGATAATTATTAATTTATGTATCCGTCAATAGCACCATGTATGGGAAAGCCATAGAATTTGAGTTTATCATACCCTAGAAAGGTAAACATAATTCCATAATTCTTAAATGTTTACAAAATCATGGCGGAGTAGTTTACCAGTAGAATGGTATTTTTCACTCCAAAGTTTTAATTCTTGAACACTTCTATACAAACAATAAAAGTCAAATTAGCTAATCCTGAAATATTCTGACTTTTGAAATTTATAATTCCGGCTCTTATTTCCAAACACCACTATCGTTTTATTTGCTGTTACAAATAAACTTACATTTTAAGCACAGAAAGCTGCCATAGCTATCCTAAAGTAGGTTACATACAGTATAAAGTGAGAAGGATTGGTGAGAGGCTTGTTTGTGTGAGAGTAATGTAAACATGTATGAATCTACACTGAATCAAGAAAGTATGTAAACATGGTTGTGATGTCACCGAGTCACCTCACCAAAACAAGGTCAGACAGGGCTTTCAAGACCTGTTAGGTGTCTGCTCCCTTAACTTTCCCTGAAAGCCCCTTCGAGTCTATGAAGAATGTAAGTTCGAATCATCCCACATAGCACCATTACTTTACCAACATAACTAACATAAGCTTGATAAACTACCATCCACGTGCCAGCTGAAGTTTGGACCGTAACTGAGATATTTCCTCCGAGAAAGTCTGCGCCTTCTTCTCTCCTGCACTCCCACTGGGTCGATTTCCCGTAAAATAGTTGCTACTAAGTGGCGAGGGACATGAATTTGATGTACTAGCCTCAAAGAATGCCACACTGCTCTGTATCCTAATGATTCACCAGAACCACTGATTGCGTTCCTGACTATATCACGCAACTGGTCAACATCGACCTCGTTTCCTCTTCTTTTCAACCCATAATCTCGCAGCCTGCGTTTAAGAGTACTTAAACTTATTTTAATACCGTGGTAGTAGACCAAGAATTGCAAAATAACCTCATTTCAGTTTCATACCCAAGATGAAAATATTTTTGGATTAGCGATCGTTCGTCGTCCGCCATTGCAACATCAGTGCTCTCCCCAGTATCTTATGGATGCCAATGCGCGAGCACGACTTTTCATTTTTAATTTGCAGGTTGTATTTTTAGTTTGCAGCAACATTTTTAATTATTTGCATGTGTGACCCTTCTGGGCCATTTTAGATTTGCATGTACTATATTTAATTTGCAAGTAATATTTTTAGTTTGCATGTAAAATTTTTAATTTGCATGTACCATTTTTTATTTGCAGCATTATTTTTAATTTGCAGGTAATATTTATTAGTTTGCGGCAACATTTTTAATTTGCATGTGTGACCCTTCTGGGCCACCGTAGGTTAACCACGATTCATAACTTTTGGATTTTATTTGAGGTCTTTCCCTTTTTACGAAGCTGCTTTCTTTCAGTGATTGTTGTTTGACCAAATTTGTTTAAATAAAGCTTGTCATAATTTAAGGAGGATGTTCAATCTCAGTATGTATATAACAAACATAATACCCCATGGAAAGTGCGCGCGTAGGGTGTTTAAACACTCGTTGTTTTGCATCAGAAATCTCACTCGTTCACTTCGCTTACTTGTTCGATTTCTGATATGCCACAACTCTTGTGTAAACACCGTACGCGTGCACTTTCCATGAAGTATTCTATATTCACTTATTGAAATGGATTGTTCAAAAAGTGGAAACTGTCATTTGCAACCACCACTTGTGAAGTTTCTTGTAAATCTGATGTTATCGACGTGTGAAATTTTCACATGAGGGTGTAAGAAACCATTCAAAGCTTCGCTAGGGGTGGGGGGAGGGGGGAAGGCGGAGGAGATTAGGGTATCCTGTGGTTCTCAGGAGAAAAGAGGAGATAAGTCGTCCCCAACAGAGTATAAAGGGGAGAATACAGAAAATAGATAGCCAATTAACTGTCTATAAAGGGGAGGGGGTCATGAAATTATTAGAGAGCTTTATGGGGGGGGGTCAGGTAAGTTTTATCGTGAGACAACTAAAATCCTCGAAACTCCTTCCAATCCCCCCCTCCCCCCCACGGGCAGTAAACAAAGACCGGTCCCCAACGGGCAGCCAATGAATCAGGTAGATCAGAACAATACTACTGAGACTCCAAGGCCGGGTTATTCGATCCAGTTCTTGTATGAATTTTCTAGCCACGCCGGTGTTGTCAATATTGAAACGAAGGCATCCATCCAAACCTAATTTTCATTTTCATCCAGTTTGTGTAGCCCGAATTTCTGAAATCCCCTCTAATCTAAACTTTAGGAAGTCGGCTGGCCCTGACGGAATATCACCCAAGCTGTTTAAAATTGCTGTTCCAGTCATAGCCGGACCTATGACTAAACTTTTCAATTATTGTGCTGACGTAAGCGAGAGGCTATGTCAATGGAAACTTAATAACGTCACCCTGTTCATAAGAAAGATGAAAAAACATCTAAGAAGAATTATTGCCCCGTTAGTGTTTTGTCAGTTATACCCAAGGTGTTTGAGAAATTAAAATTTGATCAATTATACAGCGTATTCACACAAGTCTTTTCGAATAATGTCAGGGCTCCTGCCAGGGCATTCTTGTTGTTTTGCTTTCTTGAAGCTAACTGACGATTGACGCCAGCCTCTTGACAATAAAAAGGATGTGGCAGTGGTCGCTATTGACCTCTCCAAAGCGTTTGACTCGACTTGCCATAATTTATTACTAGCAAAAATGCGGAAAGCTTACGGCGTTCACGATTCTGTAATAAAGCTCATTCAGTCATATTTTTCAGGCCGCTTTCAACGAGTAAAATGAAACGTGAAGGTGTCAGACTGACTGCCTCTTCGCTGTGGATCGAATGTCGCATGGGAGCCTTGTAGGTGCGCTTTTTTTTTATATCTTAGTGAATGATGTCAATTACTCTTCCTTCCTACGTCTGTATGCTAATGACACAACGCAATATATAGCCCATGAGAGCCCCTGCACACTTGAATCTACACTGAATCAAGACATGGAGAGATTAACCCTCTGGTTCACTGCGAATTATCTGCAAGGAAACACTATTAAAACTCAGGCAATGACACTGGGGAAATCTCAGTAACCCTACAATCTTTTTAGTGGTGAAAAGTCCATCGAAACTAAACCAACTCTCAAGATTCTTGACATTACATTGGATCTGGATTTTCCTTTCAAGCCCCACGTTGCAATCATGCTGAAAAAAGCGTATGTTAAGATAGCCGCACAACGGAGGATTAAGCGCTTAGTTCCTTCAGACGTTATGATTTCTCTTTCTAAAGCCTACGTGTTACTGCATTTAGGATACTGTTGCCCACTACTCTTAGGCATGTCTATAGCCTTGAAAAAATAACATCGAACGTACAATCATTATGCGATCAAGACATTGCTAAATCTAGGTACTTCGGCTGCCTATGACTTTTGCCTCGCAATGGCTGCTATGATCTATGGACACGCTTGAGCAAGGACGTACCCTGTAATCGATTAATATTTAATTTTTTTAATGTTTTAAACTAGATGGCCCAAATGAAATCTCCCAATTTTTTACACCTCAGCTAACTAAATGCAATTTACGAGACTAAAATGTTGCGCAACCTCCATATCACAGCTTTGTCATGCAAGACTCCTATTTGTACATGATTGCCCATATTTGGCATCAGTCATCAGCTGTATCCAAATCCTCGACCTTTAGCACAATTTCGTGCTCACCTAAATATAATGTTAATTTCACAGGGTGCCAGTGTATGAACTGTGTCTAATTTTATCCATTTTTAGATTTTTACATACTCTTGGGCTAGTTTATATTTAATAATTTAATCAGTTTCTAATTAGGATTAGTTCATTTTTTCTATTTTTGATGCATGTACAAAGGATTTTTAGTTTTTTCTTTCTTTTCATGTTTTCTTAAAAATTTTTCCCAAAATCAAGAGGTACTTAATTGTTCGGTTTTTTTTTTTTGTATATTTGTATATGCATAATTCACATTTTTTCTTGTTTTGTATTTTTTAATTTCTCCAGCGTTTTTAACATCAGCCTCTGGCTCAATGGATTTTGTAAACACTTCCCACGTCTTCGACACTAAATAAATCATTTATTCATACATTCATTTATTCATTACCGGGAAATTTGATTTCGGATCTGAAAGCTTTAAAAGAAAATTCGGTTTAATTCTTTTTGTCAACAGTTTGAAAAAATTGGGAAATTATCCCAAAACATATATACATATATATAATTAAAGCGGCTTTTGAACAGAGAAATATCAAAAACTGCATTAAAATGTAACCCTAGGTTAGCGCTAATCGGCCTTCGAACAACTGGCCCCAGAGCTTTTTCTTTCGTTCCTCTTATTTTGTTTTCACGTTGTTTTTATTCCTGTCTTTAATCATAAATTTTATTGGTCTATTTTCTCTTACGTACACGAGTTGACAAAAGCATGCATGCTGAGAATATGTAGATGATTTATTGCCTTAGGGTCAAAATAAAAACTCAGATGTATAAGTGAACAACGGAGGGAAGTTTAAATGTTCAATATCTGCAAGGATTTCACTAATCATCATATGCTAAAGAGTCCCGAACTGTAGCAAGGAAAGCTGAACTGATTTATAAATGAACTCGAGCGGTCTAGCAGGATACAGAGATTCGTACTTTTAATTTAAGCTCGTTCGGCTCCATTTGGGAGCTACAAGTCGTCACTTAATCAAAAGCTGGTTTAAAGCTATCAATGAACGAAGGCATACGTACTGATCAATAATTAAATATGTCATTTGGCCTCTTCGCATAAAACGCCTCATTATCGAACTTATTGTGGCCGGGAGCATTTTTCAGGCGCCATAAGCCATCACTTATCAGTTGTTCTGTGCACGAGGGAGAGCATTCTGGGATTTACTTCGAATCTTTGGAATTTTCAGGAAGACAATGTATCTTTGGTGCCAGCTTTTAGTCGTCCTATCGGGTAAGTGCCTGATTTAAATTAAAGTATTAGTAAAAGATGAACAGCTCGAGACAGGGACGTAAGAAGATGTAATTTGTGAATGAATTTTCGACTTTGACCACAAAGTAGGCATCCTCCTTTTATTATTTTAGAACAAACTTCTTCCCCGGAGACAAAATTCAAATTTCGCATAGTGATTACAATTTTGCAAGAAAGAAAGATTTTGTGCAACGAGCAACTGGAAAAATTTAGTTTCCCATGATTTTAAAAAAAATTAAAAATGCGAAACATTTCTGCTCTACATAAGTATCATTACAAGCTGTTATTAAGGAAACAGTAATAAACACAGGGAACAATTCTGTATGAACAATTAAAAATTTCACAGTTTCGATTGAAAATTTTAAGCTCTGCTTCGGTTAAAATTCTTAAAATTTTAGGCGATTTTGGACTGGAAGGACTGGATATTCGCAGCGCTTTAACTTTTAACAAATTCAAATTTCTAAAAGCTGTAATCGACGAAAAAACCAAGAGGGATAATGGAAAATTGTGGCACACGAACAGTAATAGCTTGGAGCTATAAATGATGACTTTTCTCATCTCGTCTTTGATTAAAAAACACTAAGAAGCTTTTTTTTTATTTTGAAAGAAACCAATCTGATTATTTTTCCTCGTTGCTTCCTCCTCCAAAACTCTGTAATAATAATTACATTTGTCTATTTATGTTTTGGAGAATAAAAACATCTTCCCTTCGCATAAATTAGAAAATAATTCGGCAGATGACTCTTTCGGTAAAACTATTGAGGTTTTTTATTTATTCAGATGACCATCGGTTTTAACAAGAGTTTTTGTTTAGGCTGGTACAAGCAAAGGCCTAGTTTATAAATAAAAGTGAAAATTTTTCAACCTCGAAATAAAAACTGAGGCTGCTGTTGTGGAGAGGTATGCCGCAGGATTTTTCTAAGATCATCTTTTTTCTTTTTTTTCATCAGAATAAGTAGTGAGAGTGGCATCATTACTAATTAAGTGAAACAAATGTGTTAATCAGAAACAACACAAAGCCGCAATAAAGAAACATGCAATTGAAATAATTGAACGCTTTTCTTTCTTTTTCTATTGCATAGCACTCTCTTATGTGAAGCTAGTTCTCTCTAATGGTAAGTACTGGAAGTTTTTCTTTTTTAGTAAATGCACGCAGAGACCTTGCTCAGTCGAGTTTGGCAAAATTCCCCAAAGTATACAAATTGAGCAAAGTGACCAAGTCTAAATTGAAGAGACCTACTAAACATCTTTAGAACATAGCTAGCAGAGTCGCGCAACCAAATTCATTAAACGTACGTAAGCGTGCTCAAAATCCCGATAGTGCACACTGATAGCATCAGCAAATCGCTTGGCCAGAAAATTTTTTTTCGCGCGAGCGGCCATTGTTAGCGCGGGGAAAAATAATATATTTCGCGACAATAATGGATACAGAGACTTCGGCCAACTAGTCCCAAAACGAAGACAATTTTTCGACCTTTTCCCTTGGCTAGAGTTCTTAAATGAGGCAGAGAAAGAGAAAAACAACTGAAAAAGGAGACTCGGCATCAGCGCCGTCACGATTCGCTTCAATTGATATTGCTGTCCGTTTTTCGCGTCAGATTTGATGCAAAACTCCACCGGCTATGTTGTAAAACAATTGGTTCATGCTTTCAGCTGTGCACTATCGAGTTATGGAGCACGTGGGAAGTTTGGAGAGCACATAAGAAGCTAGAGTTGCCCTCGGCTATTGCCTCGGGCAACTCTCACGCTTCTTTCGTGCTCTCCAAACTTCCCGCGTGCTTCATAACTCGATAGTGCACGCTAAAGCATGAACCCCAATTGTTAATTATTTGGGCACCTGTTTCTAAAGGACGGCTCTTCATTTCAACTCTTCAAATATGCTTTGAAAAGTAAATACTCTACAGGAGATGGATTACTGGTTGAAAGGATGGAGGAACAGTTGTAACGAACCATTAACAACCCACTCGGGCGGCTTTCTTTCCAGGAGCCAATTTTAAAGAAGCAATATAATGTTTCCTCAGTTTCAATGAGACGGAAGAGGATTCGTCCATTGTTTTTTTTCTTCCTTTTTTTTATTTACGTTTGATGCGTCTTCGATCATTAGAACTTTGAAGTTTTTATAATGAGGGACTAGCTATTATTTGTCGCCAAGGGGGGAGGGGTCGAATTATTTTGGTTTTCAAGGGGAAGGGAGGGGGATCAACTTTCGCTAACAGATTGTAAAGGGGGACTATAGAAAGTTGACTGCCAATGAGGATGGGGGGTACAAATTTTTATATTACCACGACCAAGAACCTCCCCCCCCCAGGAGATGAATAGTGGAAGTTGACGTCAGTGGAAGAAAGGAGGCTACCAGGGAACTGACGAACACATATTGGGATCTTCATTAACGTGTATCGTGTTGTATAGAATATAGATCTCATTATTAATGTTTCAATTAGATGGGTCTATCACCGGAATAACTTTCAGAGCGAGGACGAGTTTCATCGCGTACCATTTCAACAAAACCTCTTCTTTCCCGGGGGTCACATTCAAGCTTGAATTCTCATCAACAAGCTGCAAGGGAGACTTGATATTAGTGACGAGTAGGGACACTGATAACTTCTTCAAAATTGTCTTAGACAATGAAGTTAAGGCTACCTTTCATTACAAACTTGGAGATGAGAACATTAGTGTATCAGCGACACTTCTTGCAAACAAATCATTCTGTGATGGACATAGACATATCATACAGTTTGAACGATATGGAAAAACAATTAAGTCTAGTATTGATGATGGTCAAGAAGTACAGGAGAACAGGCCAGGAATCACATCCGTAATCTTTAGTAAGCCAGACAAGATTGTCCTCGGAGGAATCTCAAGAAACAAGTTTGACGGCTGTGTTTACAGTGCATCTGTGCTCTTCTACTGGAAAAAAGACACGAGTGCAAATGTCCGTGTAAATATTATAGAGCGCTATCTCAACAAAGATCCTAGTGTTCGGTCTGGCGCAGTGTTTGTTGGAGCTTGTCCTGATTCTGCCGGAGTTGGTGATCACAAAAACCACGGTAAGCCAAATATTTAAGTCCACGAAACCTGTACAGCAAACAACAAAGGCATTCCTAGTTGTCCAATAATTCTTTATAAGAGAGAAGTCATTAATTATCACCTGGAGTGGGCGTAAGGGAAGGGGGGGCGTTTGTATGATTCTGGTTGTGTCGCGATAAAATTTTCCTGATGCCCCATAAAGATCTGTGATATTCTTATGACACCCTCTCGTTGTTGGGGTGAAGTCTTTTGTGAACAGCGTCTTTGACCGTGCGAGTATACCAGTGAAGATCATGATCGATAAACGTAACCTCATTCCAAAGCAGATACCAACATATATGCATTATGCGGCAGAAGTAAACACTTCAGTGACAGAATTATTTTTGCTATTAACCAGATTTTCCAGGACGTTTATTCAAAAATTTACGAATTTCTACTCCTCCCTCTGATAAACGATCACATAAGCAAATCCTAAAGCGGAATAAAGTCATCTTCCATGGAGTGTCCAAAATAGTCCGGGATTGCTTTGATTTAGTTTTGTATCAGACTTTGATTAGTCCAGAAAACTCATGCGCCCTCTAAACCGATCAGACGCCAAATAAAAACCAGACGTGACTTGGTCGCCTGCGTTTTCCCGCGCTTTTGGTAGTTTGCCTATTTTTTGAGTCCTTATTGGTTAATTATGACGCAAACCTTTGCAATGATTGGCCGTCGTGGTTTCTTTGATTTTTTTTTTTACAACAATCAGTTTAAAACGCGTTTTCATGCATAACTTACGATACTATTATAACATTCCAGAATGCACGAGTTCCAACACAAATATCTCTATGACCGACAAGCGTGGTGTTATTGCAAGTCCTCGACTGGAAAACTCAAGTCACATCAGTGAATGCTTGTGGCGCATCACGGCGCCTGGCAATCATCGTTTGAAGTTCACACTGCTGTTCTATAATGTTAGTAGTTTTGAATCCTGTTCTAAGAGTGAAATCATTGTCTATGACGGCTTATTTCGTTCCCCAAATATTCTGGAAAGATTCTCTTGTCCCAAGTCGAGCACAGCGTTGTTCACACGTGGTCAGCATATGATGGTCAAGGCACGTCTTCCAACGCAGGAAAAGTATCTTGATTTCATCGCCGTGTATGAAGTTGTGGGAATCGACGCAGGTACGTAAGTAGCTTACTTCATAACAAATAGACAGATCAAAAACCAGAGTGGGATCAAAAGATTAGCGTTCACGTGATATCAACGTAGTAATTCGACTTAGCGCTTTCACTCGCATAAGTACGTCGTTTTCAGTGAACACCCCTTCAAATTTGGTTTTGTTGATGTGCACCTATTTGGGCGAACACCCTATTTCAATAAGCGTCCCTTTTCTGTTTCAGTGATAGCGCTGGTACATTCCCTAACATAATCATGCAAATATTCACTGTAGTTCAATTTTGTTCCTTGGATGGTTTCTCCTTTTTTCTTTCTAAATAAACATCAAAGCGTTGCTCGTACAATCTGCTGTCCCTCAAAAAAGAAATAAACGCTGTTTCAACTAAGCGCCCCGAATAGGCGCCGCGGCACTAAATCGAATCATTACGGTAAGCGTGAAAAAAAAAATCAAACCATCATGGCGTTCTCTGCGGTCCAGTGGTACGAAGGTCTGAGGTCTGGGCCCGGTTCTAAGTTTCGATTCCTCTTGTAGACTCATTAATTATTCTTAGTTCCTCTTCATGACGTAAAAACATCTTTCCTTTGAGAAAATGTTTTCATTCGTATTAATAAAAAAAATAAACTCTGTCCTTAATTTGGATCCAGTTCTCTAACCGATATGTGGACCTTCCTCCCCAGGACCTTGTCCAAAAAACAGGAACCTAAGTGGCATGTCTGGAACGATACAGAGTCCAAACTTTCCAAATAATTATGAAGTTGAGCATGACTGCTCCTGGATAATATCAGCGCCACGTGGTAAACACGTGCTCTTGTCGTTTAATAAAACTGAATTCCACATACATTCGTGTAATAACACCTGTGAGTGCGACTTCCTTGAAGTCCGTACCGGAACTACTGCAGGAGGAATTCTTCTGGGGAAGTTTTGTGGTGATGTCTCTCCGTCTCCCATCTACATCAGCGGAAGACATATGTGGCTGCGTTTTGTCAGTAATAAGTTCTCAAATAACAAAGGATTTCGTGCAACGTTTGAAGCCATCAGCCCACTAAAAGGTACGTTACCTTTGGAAATGCAATTTATAACTGTGATTATGGGCTGTTACAGCTGCAATCGGCGGTCACGGTCACAAGTCCGACAGAAAATCTCTTTGTGTCGCACGTTTTAAAAATTCTTACCGCTCAGTCTCATTTTGAAAGATGGAAGCCTGGTTAAGGAGAGAAAAGTTTCCCCATCGCATGAAGGTGAAACATTCTTCAGTAAGAATGGGTCCTATCTACTTATTAAGCAAGTAAGCTAGCTCTCTCACCTAGTGCAAGCTGTTCACGACACAAAACTACTCCTAAGAGTCCTTTTTTTCACAGTGTGGGTATACTGATTTAGATAACACAAAATAATTGCCTTATAAGAATTCGGTTTGGATTTAGGTGAATTCATTCGGCGGTATTAGGGGTTGGATAACATTACAAAAAAAAAAAGAAAAAAAAAAAGAAAAAGAAAAGAAATAGAAAAGCAGCTGAGGCCATGGCACATATAATATCAGCTCTCTATGTCACCCTGGCCAATCGTAAGAAAGGAAAATACCTTAATGAGCCATTGAGAACTTAGAGTAAAAACAAGCAAACTACCTAAAGCGCGGGAAAACGCGGGCGACCAATTCGTGATTGGTTTTAGGATCGGAATCTGATTGGTTAAGATGATGGTGCGAGTTTTCTGAACCAATCACAGAGCAAGGTAAGGAAAAAATAAAGCAGTCGGCTCGGACTACTTTCGACTCTCAATGTTTCTTTATTTACTATTCCTATCTACATAAGGTTTCTATCACCTCTTTCTTTAAATAGACGAATGTCCACGGAACAAGACGTTTACAGCTCATAAAGGCTTTATCCGCAGCCCGCGGTCTCCTTTAGATTATCCCGGCAATATGGAGTGCATTTGGAGAATCCAAGTTCCAGAAAAATCCAGAGTTAGCTTTGTATTCTCAGATCCGATCTACTTTGACCCAAACTGTACCGACGTATTAGAAATTAGAGATGGATTTCATGAAAACAGTCCACCACTCAATCGGTATTGCGCTTCCTCGGCCACTCCTGGGACGATTGATTCAACGGGAAGAGAAATGTTTGTGCGTTTTAAGTCAGACGGCTACATACGAGATCTTGAAGTTTCTGCGGCAGGGTTCCGAGCTAGTTACTATGCTGTGGGTATTAAGTCAGGTATGCTTCGGGTTCGCTTGCCGTTCGATGACAAAACATACAGGTGAAATATTTCAGTGGACGCCTAACGCAACAGCTTGTGCAGATTGTCAGTCAACATCATAGTGATTGAGGAGTGTTAGAATTGTAGAGTGAATCTAGTTGGTAAGACAGTCAAACACAACGCTCCGCCCTTCTACTCTACTCAAAGCACATTACTAACATTTATTTTGTCCATTCTTAGGTGCCGACACGTTCAAGACAAGCTCTTCTTCGAGTTATGTTTTTTTCTTAACTTTCGTTTTGACTTCCTTGTTCTTAAGATGACTGAGCACAAAATAATACTCCGACTGAGTCAGTTATTCCTGTGTTGATCGTTATTCCTAGTTTCTACTCTTCTATCAATTCAGCAACGATACGAAAATCATTAAACAAAAGTAATTACTTATTCTTTCTCTTGTTCAAACAAACTGCTATCGTGGAGATGTGCCTCAGACCTTGGAGATATGAGTTCAGGTGATGAATGTACAGTGTGATCAGTGGGTCTCTGCGGCCATCGACAGAAAACAGGATCTCGTTATAATCTGTGGAAAGTTGATCGATGGTTCGTCGAGTAAATTTTTGATGCGGAACTTGGATGCAGCACGGTGAAACACAACAGCATCCATCGTCAAAAATGAATGAAGCAGGGTCTTGCATAATTCTTTCCACCTTCCTGGCTAATAGCAACAAGCTCATGGTGTTGGTGCAAAAACACGAAACTGTTGATTCCAACAAATTGACGGAGCTAAACCAGTGATGGGGACAACTCCGGAACAGCAAAGCATCTCGAAGCTCCGCTAATAATGTCAGGAAACATTCTTCTATGTTGTCCTCCATCCAGAAAACAACTGGTACTTTTTCAAGAGTATTCAAGAAAATCGTTTCTATGTGGTAGGAACTAAGTTTAGGCACCACAGGGTGAAGATGGTCTTTCAGGATAATTTTCAGTGCCAAGAAACATTTCCTTGCTGTGTCTGAGACAAGTTTTGAAAGCTCCATTTCTGCAAGGGAAAACGAGAATCGCCAGATTGTTTTGTTTTTGTCGCTTGGTGCTGGTTTGGCCACCAGACGGCAGCCAAGTGACATGATTTCCTTTTCATTTGTTGCACTAGGCCAGTACCTTGGACGAGACGACCAATCACTCATTGGTGGCCACTCAGGGCAACGGATACAGATGGTAAAGTCAGCCTCGAAAAGTGGAGCAACGCGAAGCTTCATAGTGGGTCCTTTGGAGCTGAACTTCCCCTTGGGGGTGGAGTCGACTATACCGCAACAACATGTCTTGCTTGGTAGATTATCCACACGCATGTTTTGAACAGGAGCAATGGCCTGCAGTCTGTGTAGGTTTGAACTGACGAATGCTTTCCCCAGGCTATGAGTAAAGTATACAAACTGGGAATGTCCTGTGAAGCCTTCCCTCCCACTGAAAAATGGCTCAATAAGGAAGTCATCCTGACCAGAAAAGGAAGCTTTTTCTCTCGAACAGCAAAACATCACGTCAAGGTCGGCATCTAATGGATTTAAGAATACCTTTGTTGGCGTTGGCTTCCATCCTTTTCCCAGAGCACTCTGAACATCTGATAGATAGGGTGAAGCGTTTTTTTTTTTAGCTATTGAAATTGTTGTTCTGTTGGAATTGCCTCGTCGACAGACAAAATGATAGCTAGAAGAGGAACTGAGGTTCTTCCGGTAAAAATAGCTATTCTGTGGCCACATGTGACGGGAAATAATAAAACCTGCAATTAAAAAAAAAAAATTTCTGTCGGTAGGTACATGAATCAGTAACTTTGCTTTAACTGTGAAGAAAGTTCTGGTGACTCTTCATTTATTTACTTTCGGACATTGCCAGGATAAGTGGTTGCTGGTGTGTCGACTATTCTGACCCGTGACATCGTGTTCCCTTCCTAAGCGTGATGAATTTTTCATCTGAAACGTATCGACAAAGAGAAACCGTGTGAAGTGGTCATGGAGAAGGAGCCCCTTTAGAAACAAGATCAGGGATGTTCGTGTAATACCTTACCTAGAAAGGAAAACAATCTAAGCGAGCACAAGGATTTCGTTGCCAGTGGGGGAAAGGAGGGTAGCTTTGACGGCTGACGCTACCACGTAACCTAAAATATATGTTCATAAACTCTTAAAACAAAGCAAATCAAAAGAATTTTCATAAAAGGAATATCTAATTGTGTCAGTACAGTCCATGTTAAATGACCGACTTCACAGCATCAATTAGGATTGTGAAATAAATTAAGTATAAATAAAATTGTCCATACCAAGCACTTTTGCAGCATCCACCTTGTAATCCACAAAATCAAGAAACCCATAAAGAGAAATGCAAAAAAAAATAGAACATGGAAAAAATGGACACCGGGACTTCGAAAAGCTTTGGTGTACGCGTGTAAAAATTGCAAAAGGTGGTTATATAGGGGGTTATATAGGTTGGCAGTAGGAGAGTGAAGACAGTAGACGCACCGACGCAAATTTGTAGCATCCTGCTAAACATACATACATACATACATACATACATACATACATACATTTATTTGGTAAAGCAGGTTAAGTTACATACAATGGCAGCAAAAAGCTGATGTGGACCATCCACATGGTCGCGACCCTAGAAAAGCACATCAATGCTGTAAAAAGAATGTTGAGCTCTTTTTCATAGTAAGGGAAAACTAGAACTTCCTGAATGGTGACTATAAGAATGTTCCAGAGGACTGGACAGATGCGGGAGAAGGTGGAAACGCCTTTGATGGTCTTCAAGAAACAAAACGGGTTAATGTTTACTTAACCTAAGTAAACAACAAAATAAAAATTGATTTTACAAATTGAATTTAGCACACAGCACCCATATAAATGGCTTTAATGACACAGTTCCAAGGCGCCAAGCACAAGCGTTAAAACACAATAACAAGAAAGTATAAAAAAAAGGGCTTTTTTTCATTGAATCAAAGTGGTCTCTGTTCCCATGGTCCTTACTCCTTTTCCTATGCGCTACTTCTTATACGTTTACGTCGCCTTAATTTTAAATAACTATTTCATGCCCATGATATGACTGAACTAACTGGACTGACTGGACTAGCTGTTTTTTTCCATGCTAACCGAACTGCTATAACTTATTTTCTTTTCTGCTGGTCTGCTTATTTCCGCTTGCCGCAAAAGGCGCAAAAAAAATTCTGGACCGTGTTCCGTATTGAAAATAGCTGGACCGGTATTAGGAGAACGCAATTAGCCTATCAGATACCGGCCCGCCGAGGTGCTGTCGAACAACCAACCGAGATGCTTAATAAATGTCAGTGTTCTTGAGATACGAATTTCGTAAACTCCTCTGCGAACCGTTGGACGTTTAATATCAAGTTGCGTTTTTGACCATTGACGGTAGAAATTTATCCTTTCTCACGGTTGACGGTTAAATTCTAGGCCGTTTGACGGCTCGCAGATGTATTAATAAAAATTCCCTTTTCAAAATGGGCCTTTAAAGAGCATGTTGATGTCCTTTCCGGTTGAGTCAGTTACATGTATTGCGATGCTCTTTCGTGGAGACCGGTCTTTATGCAGTGGTCTCCTGACATGACGAAAACACCTTCTTGTTAACCTAAACGCCAATGAAATCCCCCATTTCAACTGCATTACACTTACAACAGTTTATCTAATTTCGTCAAGCCTTTTAACTTGTCAGGAAAAGACGTAGTCACCGATATCGCCTTACCATCGCTTTAAAAATTACGCGTCTTGCTGTTTTTTTCTCTTTTTTTATTTTTTTTTACAAAGCAGACTCGGCTGTTTTCAAACAGGACATAACAAATACAACGATAGAAAAGCCACATGACTACATGGTGACACGGCTCGCTCGAGTTTTTCAAAGCGGATTCGCTGATCTGATCGATGGAAATCGATAAGCACGACAATCAAAAAGGTTAGCCGACACATAAATCTCCAAGCCGAACCCGCTCTCGATAAGAAATTGAAACTTATCCGTAGCTTATATCCACTTCGAAGACAAAAGATCGTAACGGTTAAAGTTCTAATGGTGCTAGATGTCTCATATACATTCTGCTAGACGCTATAGTAACCTCTGTCCGTAACCTTTTAACAAATTCAAAGTAAGCGGAATTGAGTCCCACCAGAGCTGTTCGTCCAATAAGGGCAAAATCGATTGGGATGTCGATTGCGGTCGATTAGGATCAATCAGTGATCGAGTGTCGAAAATGTCAATATGTATCGTAAACAAATGGCGTCAGATGTTTTCAAACTTTATCCACAAAAGACTCAAAGCTGTGAACAAGACAATATATTGTTACATCTCCATCAAATTATTCTTGGCCTGAAAATAAGCCATATTGACCATTCACTCGCTGGAACGCACGCAATTTACAAAGTACCCAGGCGTCATGATTGACGAAACTGTATCTTGAAAATATCGATCGCATTTCATTTATCTGATCTCATATCTAGTAACAATCTCTCTATACAGCAACTGAAATGAATCATTGATAACTTAATATTTCCATATATTTCTTATGGCATGTTAACTTGGGGCAACGTAGACAAGACACACATAAGGAAACTCGAGTGAAACAATTTTTTTTTTGTTTGCAACAACAGCTGGTATAGAAACAGAAAATGCCTCGCCCTTGATGAATTTTCAAACAGTAGACGATATTTATCGTCTTCAAGTTCTGATGTTAATGGAAAAAAATCCTTCTGCCCTAAGTATTCAACAACATGTTTCAATGTCCAATATGATCATGACATACATGGCTACAACAAAAGATATGCAGCTGAACAGGATCTTTACAAGCCTAAAGTGTGAACTTATGCGCATAAACCGTCAATTTCTTTCATAACAATCGATATTTCGAATGACCAGCCACCCTCTTTAAGAGTCTCAAGTAAAATTGCATATCCAAAACAATATAAACCTCAGAAAAGAAGAAATTAAGCAACCTTCCTCTGCAATATAAACTTCAGAACCTTATCTCCTTCGAACCGGCGCTGTTCGAGCAACAATTAAAAGTTTGATCGATGAATCGAACCAGTAGGTCACTCAACCGCTTTTGTAACTCATGGCAGAGAAACCAGGAGGCTGATCAATACAGGCATAAATGCATTCATTTTCATGTTTTTAAACACAGTCACATGTTCGTACTCATTCTCAGGGACTCTCAAATTTTAGTTCACGTGATCGTTTGAAGATAGAGAAATTCGTGCTGATCTTCTCTTTATTGAGAGGGTGCACCTCTCCCCGGTTTGACATTCGAATCAGTGCGCCACGCCTGCCTTCAGTAAGCATGTTTCTAGTTCTCCCTGGTGAATTAAAACGCCCACTACAAATCGTTTGAAGTGTAGAGCAACTCACACGCTTCTCTGAGCGTCTCGATCAGGTACGGCTGCGCGCTCAAAGTTAGTTCCTTTATAAACAGAAGTCCTCTCCAAAACTTCAAGTTTTGTTTGAAAGCTCGGAAAGGAGACATGAAGATGATTCAACAAAACAGGGTGAAAACGTTCTCTTGAACAAATCATAATGTTTTTTTTTTCTTTTTCGTTTTTTGAATCAGTTTATGATGCATGCAACGAGAATTAAAACGACGGCAAAGAATAATTTCAAGAAGAATCGAGGTTATAAAGTTTCTTCTGTGCATCATGTCTAGCTATGTAAAGCAAAGAACTTGGATATTGCAATAACCTGGCCCTCAGTTTTGAAACAAACCTTTTTCATACAAACATGTGACGGGTTCAAAAAACATGATGCTTCGTATTCAATACCTCAACATGCTTGCTCATGACATTCTTCACAAGCGCCACACAAAGGGACTTTTATATTTTCAAACATGTCAAATATCATCCCTCGTCCAAGTTCCTATTTAGTCTTCCTATACTCCATCTGTTTACAGCAGCACTATTCGGTTTCACTTTCTCGGAAAACTCGAGATAGATCACATCTTTTATTCCAGAAATGTCAGAGGACAGATCACGGAATACAGAAGCTGAGGCCATTGCGATGATGACGAACATCAATTTCATTCGCAATTCCGGGTGTTGTAAAGTTTAAAGAAATGCGTAAGGGTCATGATCAAACGCTTCGGTGAGAACTCTAGATACTGAGTTAATGGGCAATCTTGGAATTAATTGATCATTATGCCACATCACACAACTTGAGCACATTTGTCGGAAAAAATAGCTATTCATATTAGTTACAGAACTGAAGATACTTTTCTGAGAAGTAAGTGGGAGTTTTTCGTCTCTATCTTTTGTAGCGAGGAAATAAACAAAACAAACAAAAATGTTAGTACTTGTGAAACTTAATCGCATTTAGAACCGTTTAAAACTCCTTCTTTTGAGCTAAGATTTCAACAAACAAACCAATAATTTCCTTATTTTGCCCTACTAGTCGAAGGAATCAAGGCGGCAATAAATGTTATTTGCACGCACTGTCTTTGAATTGAAAGCAGAATAGTGTCACAAAGATTAAAATACTGTTACACGACTATCTAGATTTACTACCGACAAAACTTTAGTTTGTTTACTAAAGCAAAAATTGATAATAATAAAAATTAAATTTTTTATTTTCTTGAAATTCCTTCTTTTGTAACTTTATTTTAGGATATTCCGTCATTCTGCACCCGAGACATGCCACCATTCCGCCGATCCGCCGATCCACCGTTCACCATTCCATCATTCTGTTGAATAACTCAAGGTATCGTGTTTCGCAGCTTGCTCGCCTCGCAAAGTTATCGGCCTTTATCGGCATAGGTCGCTGACTGAGACAGTAAAATGCTCCCTTTTCAGAGAGAAATTTTTTTTTCAAATCTGACATGCTGTGCAGATCACGTGTATTGAGATATTTCTGGGAGGAAAAGTTTTGATGTCAATTATGCGTCGGTGGATGCCACTGTAAGATTATTTTGGATGTTTATCGTCTTTTGTACTGTCACGTTCGGCAAGAACTGAAAAAAACTTTATCATCGGATCTACATAATTTACTGGTTTAAACGGCGAATGCTCTCCCTTCAAAGAAAAAATCATCTTCTGAACTTTATGATGCACCGATCACACCTATTAAGATATTTCTGCATGAAAAACTTCTCTCCGAAAAAAACAATAAGTCAAGCACTGGGAAACATCGTGTCAAAATTGGATCAAGATCTATTGTTACACTCACTCACTCGCTCATCTCGACAACGTATGTGGCTTCGCCTACTATAGGTGGCCGTAACTACAACAGATACAACAAAAATTGTCAGTGAGATGTATTTCACTGAATAGAGAAGTTTGTTTGCTGACTAAAAATTGAGATGGTTTCGCTGAGTAGTTGTCGGCTACTATTCTGAAGATAATTTGGGGCGGTCTGTGA